CTCTACCATTCTCTTAAAATCTCTCCCGTCACTTGTCGTGGCATCCAAAGCCTTCCTTTTCTTCCTGGCCTGCCTCATCTGAAAGATGTCTACCTGGTCCAATCCTCCCTCTTTCACACCCTCTTTTATGGCGACCCAAGTCAGTTTCTTTCCTGGCGCAACCTTCTTGGTTAGCGACGAGGCTTCCTAATTCTTGAAGTGCCCCAGGAAAGTGACACACTGTTTTTCTTCCGCCAACCCTGGGACTTTCTTTGCCATTTTCTCAAATATCGTGGCAAAGACCCCCACTGTGGAGAACTCTTCCCGTCTCAACGTTTCCAGGTCTTCTTTGGTGAGCAGGCCGTCACCTAACTTGAAACGTCTCTGCATCTCCTCTTTAAACTTCGCCCACTCACCATTCGCACCGGCCGCTACTTTCATTACCTCAAGTCTAAGCTCCCACCATACGTACCTAGGCATCAGCTTGAATTTGTCTGCTTCTGACGCCTCGCTAGTGACCTGCTCCAACAACTCAAGCCACTCGGACACTCTATCCCCGTTGAAGTGAAAAATGTTAACCTTGGGCACCTGAAGCCGTGCCATCTCTCTTTTTTCCAATGCCTTGACGAAGTCCTCAGGTGTAGCACCCGGGCCCCGCTCGATTCCATCAGCGTCCCCCATCTTTACGCTTTCTCAAAAACCTCTTAAGGGATGAACGGTTTTAACAAAAACAATCGGCTGTCAAATCTCAAACTCGCTTACTTTCATCATTCTACTACTATCTTTATTTAACTAAAGTAGCCTATCAGGTCTCTATATTATAACTTCTGATTCTACTGCTAAAAACGGACATATATACAATGCATACTTCCAACCTTACTCACAATCAAAATAGATCTGACATGTCATCAAGAATGCCACAATACTCGTATCATCGTCAATCAAAGGGAGAAAAATATTTCCATCAAAGGTTGTCGTTTTGCCTGGATCATCAGTCTGCTCTTAACCTTAGTTCGTTCACTATGGACCCAGGCAGCCGAGATCCCCGGCAATGGTGCCACCTGTCGAGCGCATCGGTCCCGCATGGGGACCCTCCCGGCCGCGTCACGCAGGATTTCGCAGGACTTTGTCGCAGAGCGTTTTGGCCGCTCCAGCCGAGTGCGCCAACCGTACCTCTCGCGAGCCCCTACGACAGGACACGGTCACGCGAGGCACCGCTTACCTCCACCTGCGGGCGCTGTCACCATCCCTTAGGTGGGCGTATCCCCGCCGAGCTACTGAACCACATGCAAAAGCTTCTCGTATACAATTGTGCGTTTCTCGTTCGTTGTAGCATAGTGGGTTACGCGCGGTCGAACGCGCAGGAAATCGAACCCGCACGTGAATCGACGTACTGGGGGGTTGAGGTCCCAAACGTGACTCGGCGCTGGTCGACTAGGACGCATCGCACACACCACGCGTTACACCACAACACTCACATCTACCCATACATAACACATGGAAAAACACAAAACAAACACAACATTACAACACTCCTAGTCCCTTCAGTATCCGACCCATAACTTCATGCTGCGAGAATCAGGTAGGTACCGCGCGCTGGACTTTCGTATAAGAGTCGTGCGCGCGCAATGCCTCCTCATATCGACCAGCCATGCGGGCATTCGCAAGCATTTGCGTTGATGGGGTACTATGTGGAACTCGTAGCCTCGCGGCCCTTGATAATTTCGAGGGTCGCGTTCGACACTCAAGTGTCGGCTGACAGGCGCTTTGAGGAGTAATCTCTCAACGCCAGACAACCGCCATGTGCGGTTGAAGACCACACCCTCTTCTGCACCCTGTGCAGAGGGGTTGAGTAGACAGCTTTAAGCTGTCGTGGCGGTCAAACATCAAGGGGTTTGACTTTGACGGCTGCCACAGACTACAATGTCCAACCACGAAGACTTTAAGGAGGAAACAACTGCAGATAGTTTGATAGTAGTTCCAAAACGCGAAAGATGCGTGCGGATGAAGCCCAGACTCAGACCCACGGGCAACCCGATGTTTGAGACTTTTGGAGGCTCGTACATGGGTCCCCTTAGGCCGACTAGGCTTATTCCCTGCCTCCTGTGTCGTTTCACGCTGCCGAAACTTGGGTTTACTGGTCGTGACGCGCTTTTGCCCTCTTTGCTCGTCCCATAACCTTCGAGCGCAGCAATAGGTAAGTGTTGCGCGCATGGGTTAGCATAAATCCGCGCGGAGGCAGAACCTACGCATACCGACCAACGATGCGGGTTTGCGTAAGCAATCATGATGTCGGCACATTATGTGACGCCCATACCCGAATGGCCTCTTTTGAGCCATGGGGTTGCTCTCGCCGCTCAGGCCTCGACTGAAGTGCGCGCTAAGGGGGGGTAAACCTTTAGCAAGCGCAAGACCGGCCTGAGGGCCTTACCATCTTCTGCACCCTGAGGTGCCCCAAAGGGTGCAGGGTAAGATGGACCCTAGGGCAGGAAGGAGTTCGGAGCGGTGGTGAGTTGTCTGGCGCATCACCACAGCCCGAAACTTTATCGTTCCACCAAAATAACCTCAACAAGGATGGAAAATAAATCCTCTTAACGCTTTTGGAAGAAAAATACCTTCAATGTTAGTCTGGGGCCTGGGACGTCCCGGACAAGGATCTTGGTTTCCAGGCTTGGGACCACTGCCCTACCACACGAAGTCAAAGAGAATAGAAGGACGCAAGCCCGCGGTCGCATAGCCACATAAGGATTACTCGAGCGTACGCTTACTCTGATTATCATATCATCGGGCTGGGAAAAGAACAATCTCACCCAAACAACAGGTTGTGAGGCAGTACACTCTCACGATAGTTGTGTGGTTTGCCGATCTGAATTCAAAACATAATCACTCAATCACATATTGAATCGAGTCCCTCTCATACATACCTGCAAACATTCGACATTCAAACAACATCACACGCACTAAAGGAGTCAACTTTTCAGCCTCCTGCAGCTCACACCCTGCCTTATGCACACAAGCCCAACCATTCCCCCTCAACAAATATAGTCGGTCTTTAAGAAATGGCCATTTATAAAGAAAACTGGGTGAAAACCCAAAGAAGCACACAAAACCAGGCAAGGGCCAATGCCTTAGGTTGAGAGGCAGGAGAGAATAGGAAAGTTGAGTCGTAAACCGACAAATCGGCAACCGACCTGTTATCCATGATAACAGAAGAGTGATCATTTCGTAAAATCAGGTCGAACAATTCGAGCCTTCAATCGAATATGAAAACCTGCATCACAGTACAGGTCAAAGAGAACCACTACTATGTTCAACCCAAGTAGAGGATAGTTCCCCAATTTGTACCCTAGCTCCTCTATTAGTCTCACGTTCAGCTTCCCTCACTAACGCCAAGTCACTGAGAAAATTTGGCAGCATCTCCCCTTTAAGAAATGGCCATTTATAAAGAAACTGGGTGAAAACCCAAAGAAGCACACAAAACCTGGCAAGGGCCAATGCCTTGGGTTGAGAGGCAGGAAAGAATAGGAAAGTTGAGTCGTAAACCGACGAATCGACAACCGACCTGTTATCAGTGATAACAGAAGAGTGATCCTTTCGTAGAATCAGGTCGAACAATTCGAGCCTTCAATCGAATGTGAAAACCTGCATCACAGTACAGGTCAAAGAGAACCACTACTATGTTCAACCCAAGTAGAGGAAAGTTCCCCAATTTGTACCCTAGCTCCTCTATCAGTCTCACGTTCAGCTTCCCTCACTAACGCCAAATCACTGAGAAAATTTGGCAGCATCTCCCCTATCCAGGATGGATTTGTAAAGTCTCTCTTAGCTAAAATATAATATAACTCCCTAAATTCTGTGAAATTTCGGCATCGCTTCCCGTAGGAAAAGTGCCTTTCCATAATTTCTACAAGTCAAAAAATGACTAACCCTTTCAGATTTGTAGAAATTTCGGCAACGCTTCCCGTAGGAACAGGAGGTTGCCAAGATTTATACAAAGCTGAAACTGAAAAGATAAGGCATTTCTATACTTGGGACTAACTTCTGACAC